CGCCGATGAAAACTAACAGTACATTAATTGTAAGAAATTTCAGAGTCTTGAAGTCTACACCTGAAACACTACGTAGATCAGATCTAGTAAGCAAGAATTCGTAACTTGAATTAAATTTTCCTACGCGTAGGAGAAGAAGCCTTCAACTGAAGATAACCATCCAAGTGCGGAAAGAGCGGCCCAAAAAGGAACGGCCCGAATCGGCAGGAAGCAGAGTCACTTAATTCTCGGTAGGGTAAATAAATTAGGAACGTCTAGAACGTGCGGAGCCGAGACCCACCAATGTTGAGCGGTGTAGCAAGTACATGTAGCTAGTAGGTACTCTACACCATCGCACCTATGTTGAAGGAAGCGCCTGGGCTTGAGTGAAAAAACCTGGTTCATTCTCAGCTTTGCTTCGACTTGATTGGTCAAACCCTGGACTGTGTTAGCGTGCATCTAGCCTATGGTTAGAGCTCACCCGACCCTGCGAAAGTGCACAACGAAGTATGGGTGCTGCCACTGTAACGCCAACTCCCCAATTGATATCCCAAGACGCCAATATCTTGAGGGAGTAAAACGTACGGCCCTTTACATGTATACGTGTATGCAGCGCGTTTCTTTCTCGAATAAAGGAGGGTACATGATGGGTAGGGTATGGTAGGGGAATCGAGCGCTCTATAGGTAAATGTATGTATGTACTCGCAATTTCACAGCGTTTCCGGACGCAACTGCTATTGCATACACAGAAAAAACCCGCCAAGGCTATCTTTTGTATGGCATGCAGTAGTGGTCGCGTCCGGAAACGTCAAAAAACTACGAGTACAGTACTCTATGTATGTACTGCATGTAGAGTATTGTATGTACATGTACCTACATGAAGTTTCCACTGCACGTCGCATAAGTACATGTAGATACCTGTAGAGTAAAGTACACGATGTGCTCTAGAGAAACTAAGTGCTCTACATCCTCTACTCTAGAGTACTACAACCTGTGTGTATTGGATTTACCAGCTAACTACATGTACATGTACATGTAGTTTATGTAGTACTCTGCATACCAACATATATATACATATACATAGTGTTTTACCTACTCTAGATTGTTCTAGAGCTCGATCTATAAAATGAGAGTGCTCTAGAGGCAGAGTGCATAAAAATTGGGCAATGGGCTACGTGTACTAAGGTAGTAAACCTCGCAAAATTTGAATTTGGCTGCAGCTGAAATGCACGCCATATATATGTTTTTAAGTCACATGATCAGTGCTCTGCTATTTGACGACAGCCAGTAATTACATGTAGAATATCCATTGACGAACTGTGGGGTGAAACAGATCACTCTTCAATGTTAATTTTACAATCTGCGACTCCAGATAACTTTTGATTCCGTCGAGTCCTATTTGAAATGTTCGGATTTGTTTAGCTTGGTCGAGTTCTAATTAGCAAAAGACATATTTCTAATTGCATAAACCGATGTCTAGAACAATCTGAGTGGGTAGGTGAAAGGTAGAGGGCGGTGCGCCGGCGCATGGGGCTGGTCATCAAATAATTTGTTTGATATCTTTACGCTGGAGAAGGCGTTATTCGCACAGAATGTCGGCCGATGTTACGGTCCCTTGATCTAATATAGTTACAACGTATCTAATTGAAATAGATAGGAGATTTGATGTGATGCGAGATCATGAGAAATACCGGGTACATGTATGGATACCTGTATCATCCCATGCCCATCGACTTTCGCAATCTCAAACGGCTCATGAACCACAGACTCCCCCCTGTCAATGCAAGAGACAACGCGCAATTCTTGTCTTAGAGTGCCAAAACGGTCGCGTAATAGCCCTTTTCTTTCCTTTTTTGGTGGGGTACTAGACACCTAACAACCAAATCGCTACACATTTTCCTATAAGGGATATGTTGATCTATCCATCCACCGCCCACCATTCCCCATCACCATCCCATCGATCCCCATCCCTCACCACACCCTGGTTAAGCAACGGAACCTCAGTGCGTTCCAGTATTAACCCATGGCGAACAGAAAAATACTGAAACAATCCCAGTTCTAATTCAGTCCAGCTGCGGCCTTGGATTCCTGGGATTATCAGTCTACACTACACGGTATTAGTGCGGTCTGTCACATCCCGGAGGCGCAGCTATAGGTGGGCTCTCCTCTTGTGCTTTAGGGTTTCCCGTGGAACCACTTTCCTATCGTTGGGAACCATTCGGACTATTTTCCACCTCATCAAACTTGCTTTAGCGATTATACTTTCCCCTCGGATGATGCAAATACGATTAGCTCGATCCATTGCCATCTTGGCAGCATGAAAATCGAGCACCGCTTTCAAGCGGGATGTTGGTACCTAGATTCAGCGAGATCTAGACATACGCTGCAAGGACGAGGGACCGAAGAAGGGCCGGAAGGAACAATCAATCCATATGATCCACAATGTAGACAAATACTACCCCAATTTATCAAGACAAGGGATCGGGGCCCTGGGAATTTCGACATATGTACCCCAAATCGGAATGTTCGAGAGCAGCGATGCTTACCAGGGGTCCTGCCTGAAATCGGGTTTCGAGCACACACGGGCTCAATAACCTTTTTATTTATTACTTTTCCGATTTTTGCTTTTATTTCAATTCTCAGTTGGTCTTAAGGTCTTTCGTTGACCGACATTACATCAGTTGGATTTAGGAGGTTTTCTATAAGTATGAGAGCAGAGTACGGCCTTCATCTCCAACTTCTTTTCGACATCACGGCCAATTCCACACGCCTTGATTGCTGCTATAAACCCTTTTTCAAAGTGGAAATTCGATTTCCCCCCTACACTCGTTACTAGCCAATTCAAAGTCTCTAAACGTTCTCAAATTTATTTTCTCATATCTATATCTATAGATATTTCTCAACTCTATTAGTATATACTACTTCCTGATACCTCGAATCAATACCGAAGACCATGTGTGATTATACCCGTGTGATTTGGGGTTGTGGTAAGTAGTTTATAATCATCTCTAGTCCGTAAGGTTTATGTGTAATGAGCTAACAACTTTTACAAAAGATCATTTTCGAGACCTTGTTAAAAATTGGTGCTCCTTATATGTAAATAGCCAGGGTTTAGAACGCTGTGGCGTCTATATAGTAGGGAAAGAATATCGAAATCATGAAAAATGCAGCAGTATGAGATACTCCTACTTCTTACTTTTTGAGACTTATGCTTACTGTTAATCACCTGCGACTCTCAAAGGTACTTGTACTTCGTCGCTGCCGCCTCCGGGATCGGCAAGTTAATTCAGATCAGCCAGCAATGGTGCGTTCCCACTCGTTGGCATAGGAAATGTCACCCAGGCGCTAGAAATAGATGTTTACTGCAAAATTGGAAATGGAGTTTTGGTTTTTATCTTGAAACAAGCGAAGAAAATGGGAGAAGGACGAAAAACGGTAGAACGCGGTAATGAATGGCTTCCATATCTAGGATCGGATGGCGCAGCACACGGGGAATTTTCTTTTTCTTAATTATTTGGGTATTATTTTTTTTTTTTTTACTCTTCCCCGGGAAGGGACGGGCCGTCGGAAGTGCTGAGAAGGTAGACACCAGGGATTCTTTATATTGGTCAAGTTTCCCTAGGCATCCTATTCATATTCCCCAGGAATTTTAGACCCAAAAGGTCACGTGGTGGGGTTCGTCCTCGTAATTTTCCATCTCAGCTTGCTGTTTTTAAACCGTTTCTTTTTGCCTTTTTGTCTGGTGGGATTCAAGTTCTTAAAGTCTTGTATTCTTATCTATTTATAGGCCTAAAGTGTGTGACCTCCCTTAAGATAAGAATCTCTACTGCTTCTCTCTTCAGACAAACCACATATATATGTTGTTTCATGGGCACGTCCATTAGATGTCACCCAAACCCGAAAACGGTGTAAAACGCTGCTGTCATGCCAGGTACGTAAGGACCCTAAAACTCTGAAAGCGTATTGTCTGTCTTCATATGCACAAGATTTATCTTTATTTACCCAGGCCAGTTTAATATCGCATACATTGCATCGTTCTTCTTTCTCCAGATTGGACAACTCAGCACAGTTATTCCCTAGTTTGAAAAGCCCACACGTATCACACCCAGAATCCTTTTACACTGGCGGATGCAGCACCTACTTGGGCAGTTCCCGGGAATGCAATGCGTCCAAGTAAGGCGCCTGAATGGGCATTTGGGCGCCAATATCGCATAATCTCGGGATTCCCGTTCGAGTGGATTTGGTGAGGGCCCTTGAAAGGCTGGTTATTTCAGCTTTACGGTGGCCCAGGAAGTAAGTTAGGTCAGCCCCAATGTCTTTTACATACGGTTCCCACGGGCATGAGTGATGAGAACTTGGAAGAACACGATATCGACGCCTCTTGATAGCGCTGGGGACTGACAAGCGAGCGGGTATGCATACCCATGGCGCCATAGGGTCTGTCAGAGGGTGAGATTCTGGGGTTCTGGACTCTAAAGTCTGAACTCTGAAGTCTAAAATATGGACTAGTTCCAAGTGAAAATTCTCGGGAGTCTGGACCATAGCTAGGCCCTTTGCCAGCTGCAGCAGGGGTAAAGAATGGATGGGAACAACTTGCTAAATGAGATAGGAAAGCTTGTCTGAACTAAGAACGGTGAATTTCTAATCGCCGTACAAGACAGCAGTACGTGAAGAGGTCCATCCACATCAAAAATCATACACCTCGTCAGGAAGTCCTGCGAGTAATGGTCGATTACTGAGTCGAGACAACAATATGCCGACTAGGAAAATAGTGGGAGAAAGGGTACGAACTGCCAAAGAAGCTTGACTCTCCGAGAGATACCACGAAGAGGAACGAGCCAAGCCAAAATACCTAGCCGCATGTGTACCTACACAGAGAATCAACTAATGGCTGCAAAAATGGTTCGTCCAGCAGTTCTTTGACCAGTGACACTACAAGAAGTGAGCCGGGTTCTGTAATAGGTTGTTACCAGGAATAATTTAGTCGGGGAATTTGTATGGTTGGCACTGTTACGGCGTAGACAGGTTACGACAATCCCCGCATCGATAACCACCACAACGACCACGAGACTCTTGTTGGCCCCCAGTTCCGCGCAGGACCTTTCCTGTCCGCAGGGTTTCTCGACCGCGATAGCGTGAGGAGAATTTCCGACAACCTATCATGCCACCATCAATGACAAGTTAGTCAATTTCCGAAAACCAATGGATCTCGATATGAGCACAGAGCATTGCTGCATGCCATCTAAAATCCTTCTTTTGGCTTCGTATAGCATCCATTCCGAAAAATTGAAAACTAATACTAGAAGCCAGCAAACATATGTGCACGATAGCAACATTCTGCAGCCGCACGCTAGAACGCAACGCTTTCCGTTGAATTCAGTTTCGCACATGAATAACCGCACACAAAGGCATTCTGGAACTTCCCGGTGGCGGGATAGCATACATGTATCCTATGATTGCTGGAGGGTCTGAATTTAACGCTAATAGCGTATTATTTTCTTATGGTTGGGCATACAGTACCGCTCACCGGCCACATCACCGAAATTCTTTCTTGCATAGCATAACCCACCGAAAACCAACCTAAGCAAAAACGTTTCTCAAATTTAAAAAAGCAAGCAAAAAATACTACAGTCTTGATGTTTCTATTTCGGATAATGGCCGGTCCCTGTGTGAAAAACCTGGTGCTGGTTGTCCTTCATTGACTGCCTATTTTCCGCCTTTTTTCGATATGGTGCAGACGTATCCCGTTTAATAACCCCCCCGCATGAGTGACATGCCGTGTTTCACATGCCATGCCATGTTCATCGTTAATCACTCGCCGGACAAAAGAATTTGATTCACGTCAAGATCAAGATTCGCTTTTGAGGGGACACAAATTCATATACATCACAATGGATTTTGATCATCCTCTTGGCTCTGGTTGCCCTTGAAACTCATGAGATCTATCACAAACCCGCTTCTCAAGCCAGGCATGCCAGTAATCGGGCCGAGGGTCGGTGGGGCCCATGGTCCAACACATTCTCGAAATACTCTGCTCAGGGTAGAGTCATCATCAATTAAATGACGTGGCACAGAGGTGTCAAATATCCTTTCTTCAACGCTCCCCGCATATCAAGAGGCTCGAGCTCTTACCTGGCAATATATGCATCTTGAATTCGGTCAAGATCGTTGCGGTACCTAGTATACCAACGCATTGTGTATTACCCAGCATATGGAAAGCATCGGATTGGTTTCCCTCATGTATCACCGATGTAAACCCAGCGGGACGGAACGTTTACCCATGGTGGTGGACGTTGCTGTTACTGAGACATAAATGGGCGGGGGTTTGTTTGGCGGGATAAGCGCCATGATCTACATACAACGATCACTACTCATGATCACGGGTTGTGTTTCTTGGTGGGGGCCCAGACTGTTTGTTTTTACATGCCTACTTTCAAATCAGTCGGGAGCCGTGAATTTGGAAGCTCCGCATAATCGCGTGCCGTGTCAATGCCTTCTGCATACATGGGCACCGTACATAGACGCAGTGAGTAAGAATACATATGTATTCACGGGATCTCCGGGTTCCCTTCAGCTGAGATTTTTTTTTCTTTCGATAACCCAACAGCTCCGTAATATAGGGATTCTTCCGTCCCAACAGTGAAAGTTATGTACCTCACGACGTCCCGATCCCGGCGCGATCCGACCTACTACATACATCGAACTCATGGTTCAGGTACCTCGTGAGCGGTTATGTCTCGACCTATGTGTCCTCAAAGAAAGGAAATTCTTCACAAAAGTGAATTTTGCATGTTTCGAATTCTGTTTCAAATTAGTAGATGGAGTAGCACTAAAACCACCAAGGTACCCAGGCTAGCAGTTTAGCTGGACTGACTAGGGTCAATCATAGGCCTAGGTCTCAGGCTGTCGATAGCTAGCCCCGGTAGTTGGGTATCCCTGCCCCCAGGCTCGGTAGATGAGCATGGCTTTTCTTCTTCGACGGTACGGTTCAGGGAATCAGGCGGGAAGATTCGCGAAGCTGTGGAACTGTGGGTGGGCGGATGAAAGTGGAATAACTAAGGGGATAACCGTGAAGACTCCGGACAAATCGCAGCGGATCAAACTACTCTCTACCTTATTTCATGGTTATGCTTATCATAAATCTGACTTTGACGAATTCTTGGGTGCGGAATGGAGTCGCAGCTAACTAACACCTATCCCAATCAGGGTGACACCAATCGAGTGATGGGCTATGCAAAAACGAAGAAAGTTTACGTTGGATACTAGGAACATCGAATATAATATTTTTTGGGCAATGAGGCCTGTTTTCCGTTTGGAGACCTTATTTTCAATTAGAAACTTTCTAGTATATAAAAAAATGATGTAGGCTTCCTTCCTCAAGCTTTGAGCACCATCTTCCCCGAAACGTCGTCCCAGCGATAAACTGGGCCGCTGCCAATATTATAACTACAATTAAGAAATTATATCTATTAGAAACGTACCCCTTCTTTTAAAATTTCCAGTCATTACAACATGTAGCTATACATACCAGTAATAATTCTCAGTCCCGCCCCTCTCAAGCGCATTGCGAAAGGTGATATTTATCCTCCCGCCGCCCGCCCACGAAGACGCAGAGTCACTGGCAGTGGAAGATGACGAGCGCTTCGGGATAGAGTGGAGCCATTTTGATTGAGTTGTAGAGCGCATGAGGAGCAGATCCCCGGAGGGGATGGGGAAGGTGTGGGTTAGTGCTGGGACCGTTTTACTGTGAATTTTCTTTGTCAAAATATGTTGGAATCCAACCAGTGCTAAAAAACCAGGCTTGGGTGAGGTGGAGGAATGCGGGCGAGTTAAAGAAATTAGGGGCCCCCCAGGGAAACCAGCTGCTTGCTTGCTTATCGGACGGGTGTATACTATTTATGTACTTACTGCTTCATGAGGAAATCGCGCCGGGAGCCAAGTGACAGCGAAGCTATGGTCGGATTCTCACCCAGGAACCGTTCATCGTCAGAATGATACCTAGGTCCCCTCAAGCTCTTGATTAGCCCCCCATAATCCCTATAGCACGTACATCATCACCCGCCAAAGTGCGCAATCGTTTAGTTTAGCCAGCTTACGAGATCGAATCATTACCATCAGCGTAATAATTAATGAGCACAAAATTATAGCTGCAACCCGTCCGCTTCGCTACATACTAGAGGACAAGTATGAGTATGAGTAGGTATATATGTACGGCTAAATAGCTATAGCTGCCCGGCTCGGACCTACCTGTCGCAGCATCTCCACGCACTGCGGTACCGGCCGGGGCGTACACCGGTACCGGTCCGCCGGGACCGGGTGTTTGGACTTTACATCCAGCAGCTCGCCGGAGAGCGGGTGGAAGTAGGAGGATGCGTCGACGCCGAAGAGGGAGGTGCTTCAATTCACGCAATTAAAGTTAGTAAATATTCCAGATTGTTAGGATGTATAGTATGGGGATTATGTACGTACTATCGGGGTGTCTTGACGTTGGTTTCCACGCCGGCTCTGTTGATCTTGTATTCGACTCTGTAGAAGGGGAGCTCCTTGCGGAGGAAGAGGAAGAGCTCCTTTGCGAGGAGTGCGTGCAGGAAGGGGTGGTAGTGGAGGATGGAGAGGTCTTGTTTGTTGGTTATGGGTGTTGGGGGGATTTCTTGAGTGTCGGTTTTGTCAGTTACGGGTTCTGAAGCTTCTTGGGCGCCGGTTCCGCCGTTTACGGCTCCCGCGGCTTCCCCTTTTTCTTCGTTGGGAGATTTGTCTGGTGGCTTGGTGGACGATAATGAGAGCGAGGGCGGGAGACAGGCGATTGGGAATGGGTAGGTGGGGTGGGTGCTTGGTGGTAAGTCAGAGTGGAGTGAGAGCTTGGGCTTCTTTGAAGGGGCCGCGGTGAAGTAGGAGGTTATTGGGCGTTTTGGCATTTTGGGAATGTGGTGAGCTCTTGGTGGTGGTGGGGGTGGGGGTGGTGGTGGTGGTGGGAGTAGCTTTGTGGTTTGAGTACATGTATGTGAGGCAAATACCTGTGGTACAGTCGCATGCATCAAGTTCTCGCCGTTCACGATGCAACACCCGACCTCAATACTCGTTACTCAACTACAAGTGAAGATATTTAATATAGAATACATAGTAGAGTTAAATAGAATATAAAGAAAACGATTTTGAGACTACCATCTAGTATGGCCTCCATTGGCTTTGAGACATGCCTCAACCCTTAATGGCAATTTATCTAGCTTTGATTGAGACAATGCCCCCCCCACTCCTCTTGTGCAGCGATAAAAGGTTCATCATCACGATGAGGTCTTCTCTGTCTATAACTTCATTGCCTTTTTAGTGCACTCTTGAGCATTTCCCATGAATTCTCTATGGCGTTGAAATCTGATCATCCAGTAGGCCAATCCTCCTCCTAACTGGACAGTTTGTATCTTTATTTATTTGTACAGTATTTCAGCCCATTTTATGGAGAATAACAACAGCTTGCCACTTGTCATATCTTGAAAATTTTGCAGAGTTCATGGTGGAGTGGTTATGGTTTGACTCACTGTCAAAAAACGGCGGGAACTTGTTGCATGCGACTGTACATACATGTACCTACTGCTGTTGGAAGTATGGGTTTGCAAAGCCAAGGGATGACAAGTCACGTGCGATTCTGTACGTGTTAGAGTCTGTTATAAATGTTTTACTTCAAAGATCCCAAAATCTCGATATAATATTTAAACAAACAAAGTCACTTCCTCCATAATCACTCGCATCTTGAAGCTGACATACATGTAGTGAATACTCGAGGACAAAGCAATCATTTCCTAATTAGCCACATTGCATATTCAGGATAGCGAGAAATACTCGGACTATTCATATTATCTATCCTTCGGACAAAGTATTAGATCATAGAGTCTGACTCGGAACTACACCTACTTCACGGGATCTGACTTGGGACTGCTTCATGGAGCCTGACTCGAGCATAGCAGGGCTAGGGATGATATCATGATCGACTAAATTTTAATTTTGAGCTCTCATGGAGCTTGAAGTAAGGGCTCTATAATTTCGAGGAGATCATTTGATTGACACTTGACGTATCCAGCAGGGTTGACAGGAGGCGAGGTTTATGAAATTAGTAATTATAAACTTCGTCGACTACCACCTATTTACCCTACGTCATTTCTGTGCAACTGCCAAGCTACCCGAGCCGCAATGCACGTGACAAACAAAGCTGGACCCTTGCTAGCCAGTTTCAAGACCGGATGAACCCTCAGATGTTGAAGGTGTCGGAGAACATTTAAACATGCCACTGACACCCTCGACCCTGTACGACGTTTTGGAGGCCCGGAAAGTTTACTTGGACGTTCGTTCTGTTTCACGTGGGCTGGGGTTGGCGGCACGTGGCGCTGGGGCTGGGGCTGGGGCTGGGGCTGGGGCTGGTGGCTCCGGGAAACAACAATGATCGGTGAAACAGCATTTTTAACACGCACTCTGCCAGCACGTGCGGGTGCCTGCTCTCCGGCTTTGGGTCTCTGTCTACTAATTGGCTGCCTAAACTATCATTGACTCCAATATCCCACCCCTCGCAAGTCCTCTTCAAGAATATGGTCAATCCCGCCGGCTACCGCAGTCATACACGGCATGGCGGTTTACTCTATACGGACTATTTCACAATGCAAACTCCGATCCGCAACCCAACGGTGATCCGAGGAGATGCATATTTCCACAAAGTTCTCCCTCCTTCGCTCCTCCTCTACCGGGTCTATGCCTGACTCTCTCTTCTCACCAAGGGGTCCCTGCTACTTTAGCTGTGTGGGCGTATGCTCTTGAGATATATGTGCCGCTATTATATTCCCAACGACACTCTTGCCGCGATAAATACTCTTGTGGCAGCCAGAGGACCCAGCAATGCGTGCAAATCATCGCTCTTTGGGAAGGAACACGACCGAAGCGTACTAGCCGGTGCTGCAGAGCACGGTGATCCGAAGACGGACAGCCATCTGAAAGATACATACGTATACAACTTCACACCAACCCCGCCTCCACCTCACCCAAAGCGATCTCTCTCTCTCCTCCAACCCCAGTAGCATATGCCACCACCACCACCTCAACCACCTCAACCACCTCAACCACCTCAACCACCAGCCGTCAAGAACCCCCCCCCCCCCCCCCCGGTGGATTCAAAAGCTCGCCACTGCCATGTCACCGAACCCCTTAGTCCTCTCCGACGCTGATATATCCTACATCCTCAGCAACCTCGACGCCCCCGCCCTCCTCTCGACTCTCCAGATCCTCACCACGGCACTGACAGAGTTCTCGACGAGGCCGTCCAACATCCACCAGCCCCTCCGCCAGTCCATCACCACCTCGAATGGCTCCACAACGCTGTTCATGCCGTCATCCAACACGGCCCTGACAGCCGTCAAGACCGTAACACTAAACACAACAACATCGGCGTCGCCCAAGGGTACACTGACAATCTTTGATGGCACAACCGGGGAGCTACAGGGGGTGCTGGCAGCGGAGGAGTTGACGGGGTACCGCACGGCGCTGGCCAGCATGATCGTGCTGCTGAAGCGGATCAAGCAGGGCAAGCCGGTGAAGCGGATAGTGGTGTTTGGCACAGGGAAGCAGGCACGGTGGGCGCTCAGCCTGTGTATGAACCTCATCCCGGATCTGTTGCAGGTTACGATTGTGGGGCGGTCGACGGTGCAGCGTGCGAGGGACGCACTGCCGGGGGCGAGGAAGCTGAACGAGGTGACGAAGTGGAGCTTGAGTAGTCCGGACTGCAAGTTTGTGGCGTTGGCGCCGGCGGGCGAGCCGGGTTTTGAGGGGAGGTTGCGGGAGGCGGTGGGGGGCGCGGATGCGATATTCTGTTGTACGCCGGCGACGGAGCCGCTGTTTCCGGTGGAGTACTTGACGGCGGAGAGGGCGAGGTATGTGTCGTTGGTGGGGTCGTATAAGCCGCACATGAAGGAGATTGACCCAGCGTACCTGAGGAGGAAGGATGTGGCGGTGTTCGTGGACTCGAAGGAGGCGTGTCTGAAGGAGGCGGGGGAAGTGATTGCGGCGGGGCTGAAGGAGGGGGATTTGGTCGAGGTGGGGAATATCCCGCTGGGTGAGGAGTTTGGGGGGAATTTGGTGTTCAAGTGTGTGGGGCTGGCAATTATGGACTTGGTTGTGGGGGCGGAGGTGTTAAGGCGGGCGAGAGAGGAGAGGGAGAAACTGGTGTTTTCGTCGGCTTATAAGAAGATTTGGGTGGAGATTCCAGACTTTTCGTAATGGGGTGCTGGGTGCTTTTGGGCGTGTTGTGGGACTGGTGTGGGTTATGACGGTTGGGAGATATAAGAGCTGCGAAACAACATGATAACTTCAAGTTTTAGCTTGGGTGGATGATTCACCTATCGATGACTTACCTAGGCCCTACATACTAGATAGAAACCACATGCTCTAGAAGAATCTATCCTCTATGATCTCAGTTCTATAATAGTCTTCCTCCTTGTCTTTAAGGAAGCTTTACATCCGTTTGTTTCACAAAGTCACGGATTAGAGAAAATGCCTAAAGAACGATTTCCTAGTCCAGGGCTCCCTTTATAAGCTGGGAATTAGAGAATACAACACGTTTCTCTCCGCAGCCGCCCAAAAACCTCTCTCCCCTCCAAATAAAATTGAAGATGCTTTCCTTGCCCGAATCTAGCTTCCTGGCCATTATGGGCGACCTCCCCAGCCTGATCACGGGTTAGGATCGACTTTCTTGACCTTTGGTCCCTCTTCGTGGGATACATGTAGTTAAGGGCTTTTGGCATTTATTACTTCTCTCTCCTTATCCAAAACTACAAACTATCTCATATGAGGCTCCCGGGTAGGACACTGTTACTCTTGGCAGCGGGGTTCTTTGCTATTTTATACCGTTACCTTAGTGCCTTGATGGTGTCGAGTGATTATTTGTGATTGTGGGTAAGGTCTTATGTAAGCTTGAAGGGTTCGGTGTTGGTTGGCGTGGGCATGCTGTGGGGTATTGGGCGCTGCGGTGGGGCTGGTTACAACGGTTAGGGGCCTGTGGGGGGTACGTTTAATTTGGGTGGTTATAGTTGGTGGTTATAATGCGGTAACTATCGGGAGGGTTCCTATAGCAGTCGGTCCGACCGAGCCAGCTAGCGGCGGGCCTTACACTGCGCGTCGGGGCATGCGCAGTACGGTGGTGGACTTTAATTACATTTTAGAATCGATCCCACTCGATTTGTGCAGCTCTCATTCATCGTATTTATTATCTCTTCTTTCATACACTAAAAGAACAAAAAGTACTGCAGATTTCACCGGGCGAAATCTACTACTCCCACCCCTGGATTGAACTGTAGACCTTCTGTAATCGAAGGCCAAGCCTAACCTCTCGGTGTCTGGAAGGCGAGTGATAGCCATTAGACCACTCGCCCATGTGTGTTTTTGGCTAGAAATGATATTTGTGCGCCAAGCATGGTTGGAGGTGGCTAACACTAGTGCGTAATTAGGTGGGTTAGTGCTGCTCCTTGGACACAGAGACGCCTTCCCCCATACAGATTCTAGCTATGAAAAACGTGCCTCAGAGGATTATGGATCCGGAACTGTGTATCTACATGTATTTATTTCTATTTTACTCGGCGCGGGTGCACCGAGGGGTACCACTCGAGTTTTTTTTACAGAATTTGCTTCCATCTCTCTAGCTTATGTCCTCCCGAGAATACCTCGTCCGTCTAGCTCCCTCCTCTCTCTTAAGGTCCCTTGATGGCATTTCTTGCTCTTTATCGTAGCCCCCTCTGCTGCTCGAATCATAGTACTGTGTCTACGACATACGTACTGAAATGGCCTAAGTATCGGCCTGTAGCACGCGTTACCTCGGTGTAAAGTGACATTTGTTAGCTAGCGATCGGTGGTGCCCAGGATCCCTAAGTACCGACTTAACCTTTGGCGTGTGGGAAAGATGGGAACCCGAGTTCTTACAGGTTCCGTTGTTCAATATCCTCAGAATCACGCGCTGCTGGGTGTTCCAACAGAATTACTCGTACCGACCCGTCAATTACTGGAATATAAATAGTACAATACTACTGCTAGCTTAGTCTCGTTTGATGATCGAGTGAGAAACTGTGCGCCAAGCCAGACAGGAGAGAAATAATAAAGCCGGCTAGCTAATATAGATACTTTCTTCTGGATATAAATTGCATGTTTCAGAGTTCACTCCGTCGACAACCGCCTGATCCCGGGTATTATTCAAGATATCTCTGTCTCTTGGTATTGAAGTGAGTGTGAACTTGATGAGCATTCGAGAGGCAAAGCACAATCCGCAAATTTATAATTCTCCTTCTTTCTACTTCTACTTGGTCAAAGTTAGCAGATGATTTTTGCAGGCCCTTAAAAATATGAGCATTCGCTACCACCTCCAAGACGGCCAGTATTCTCCTCGGGCAGGAGCACAAAGCATAAATCCGAGCAAGATAAGGGCCAAGTAGTTTGATATAGCCTGGCGAACCAGGTATATAAACATTTTTGGGCAACTTGGTAGTAATAGATCCCAGTTTTTTTCATCCCAGTCAATAGGTACGCTGTTGCGTTGGCGAATTTATACATGTAGCAAAAGGGTTTCTCAAAAGCATGGAACGCGATGGTAGAAGCTCGCACTTGTCCTCCGGCCCAACCCAAATATTAAATCTCGTTGAACATTATTGTGAATCACATGACTCACCTAGGCTTAGTGGTCATAAATCCACTACCGCCACCCAAAATTAACGCCGTTGGAGAGTTCCCAATATTGACCGTAATTTCGCGATGTCATTCATCTTAAGTGCTTTGACTTCAAGCCCAGACATATCCTAGATGGCGAAGTCCCGATGAGTCTAATGATGATCGCTCCGCATTATAGACCAGATTGCGCTCGCAACATCGAGACAGTTATTGGGTAATATAAAGGACCAGAGCAACTCTAGCTCTGAGACCTTATTTAATTTTAGCCAAGCATAACCTGGGGACTATGACCCGGCTCAATCATGAGTAGTAATATCAGTCGCCGTATAACCGTAAAATTTCGCTTCGGCTATGTGTCCAGGGTCACAGGACTAGGCAATGTACTAAGACTACTAGAAATTTCGGATACTGTATTTCGATTAAGATTCTGGTGTTTGACCTGCTTCGTCCGTATAATCTTCATTCCGGGCAGTGCTTTTTTTGTGAGTCGTGACGAATGGAACCCAGAGTTTCAGCCTTAAAAAAAGAAAAAAAATCTCGGTAATTGTTAAGCGGCCGGTCAGGATTTTCATGAACTGCCCTTATATAGAGAAGCTGTTGGGAGCGATAGATGAGACCGAGTGCCTGATTCGAGAATATCATGTTTTCAATATATGTAAGGATTTGCTTGCAACAGCCCAGAGGTAAAGGCCATGCATAAGTAAGTACATTTCAGGAGGCAGGACCGCAGTTGGGGTATAAATGACTTATACTATACTACAGAATAGAGGCGGTTAAGTCCCGTATACGTCAAGAAACACTTTTTGGATCGACATCTCAGACAATTTGTGATAGTCGTCCCCATTAACCTAAATACTTTACCAAAAGTCAGAGTGAACCTCGTCAATATATGGAGGTCACGGCATTCTTGCTGATGGACTCACACGAACTTACACAAACTTAGGTTTGTATTTATTAGCACTTGTTAGATAACAAGCGAACCACAGCTCTCAGAAACAGGAACATGCTTAAGACATACATGAACGAACGAACCAAAAGCCAGTCTGCTTGTCCGCTCCGTCACCTGAGTGATAAAAGCAAGTTCTAGGCGCTAGGCTGGCCAATAGGGATTAGAAACATCAATAGAAGTAAATTATATAGCTTCCACAAAATAGTAATGCAAGGTGATATCCTGTGAAACAACGTTGAGTGGTGAACGGTGAAGTCTGCACTTGAGCCTTCCCTGTTTGGTGGCGTCTGTGGGACTTGTGGACCAGTTGTGTTAGATGTCCGAACTAAGCCTATTACGGAGAAGAATTGTAACTACAGTTATCTAAGCTCAGCGCTCACTGCCGTGAGAGTGGGCTTAGTCAGAAGGAGAATGACTCTTTGCGTGACGGATAGGCGCACAACACAGCACTCTTACTGAGTGTGCTCTTTAGCTATTGGAATGTGCAATTTGTCTTTAAGACGCGTCACGTCCCTGTGTACATACACCTATCACCTCTTATGCACACATATATGTTTGTGAACGATTTGCACCCTGAAACCTCTCAGTAAAATCTCAATGAGTCTGGAATTTTTGAATGCTACTCTCGCTTCGGTACTTCATGCCTTATGTCTCACCCCAGACTAACAATGCACTCCATCTCACGTAATTCCCTAAGTGCAGCACGGGAGGAGTGGGCCACCAGATAAGAATTGGTGCATGCATATATGTAGGTATCGGCTCTACAGATAGAGGGGTACTCCAGAAGCTGATTCGACTTTGATTCAGGTGCCTGGAGTACCATGTATTCATTGCCTCTGTTGTTTCAAATATTGCAAAAAGCAACATGCACTGGCAGATGGTAGAGCGGTAGATGTTTCACCAGTTGACTGCTGAAGATTGGAAAGAGCCGGGTCGTTGAGTCCAGTTCATACTCCGACACGTCTCACACTCATCCTATGCGAGGGGTAAACAGACAAAAGAAGGTCCGTGGTGTTCGTGTTGGCTTAAGCTTCGAGGTCATTTGATGTCGCAGCGTCCCCTTAGAACCTAGGCCAAGATTTTATCAGGAAGGTGGATATTCCCGGGCATCGAGTATAGGTCTGATTAGCGAACTCTTCTTCTTTCTTTTTTCGGCGCACTGCACCTGGACTGAGACTTTATCGTGGTATCGAACCCAGAAGAACGTTCAAGCTTTTGACATGTTGCACGTCTTGTTGCTGTACACAACTACCCAATTTGGTCACATTCCTCTTCTGGATCCTACACTTCCAGCTAATCCAGAAGTGTTTGGCCTACCGGAGCTGTTACTACATCAGGAATTCTAATAAACGGATAACCACGTGCGTTCGTCATACGATATCACTCGGAGGTTTCTTAACGCCGATCTCAATATGCTTTAAAACCTATCATTTTCTACTTTATCCCAAACTTTCCCTTTCATATTCTTGATCCCTATAGATTCTCCCCACAGCGCGCACCCCCACCCATCATCATCACTCAATACTAACAATACCCCCTATATAGCCTGTTCAAACTCTATACCATGCTAGCACATATTACGTGCTTACCCCAAACGTCATTACTTCCACGAGCTAAAATTTAACAAAACCTCGGCATATCCCACTCTATGAAACCCGTTCACCTCAGTTCCTGATACCTACAGTTTCCGGTAGAATTATTGCGAAAGTGGGTTCCCCGTGACCCGATAGTCCTATTGGCCCTTAAAAGATTTTTGCTACGAGCACAGACCAACAAAATCCACTTTTTTAGCTCTGACTTTCGCAATAATTCTACCGGAAACTGTATCTTCGCACTGTCAAGCAACACCCCCGGCCGGGTGGACTGCGCCATCCCGGTTCTGGCTAGGATGTATCGTTCACGTGGGGTATTTCAGCGATCTCTATTGCTCCAAGCTCCGACACAGCGGCCCGATCAGCCTGTTATGCAGGGACGGAATTGTGGGATTCCCCGCCCAAATCGAAAATTCTAGCGTCTAGCTTGTATCAACTCCTCTACTCTAAAGTACTTTACTTGCATATTTCACTCTACACGTAGTTGGGGGTACGTAGGCGCCGGAAAAGCTAACGCGAACAGGGAAGTGGATAGTGGGTTCAATATATATTGGTTAAATCGAGGCTCTCTAATGATTTCAGCGAATCGGAACCCCCCCATGAGGAGGTGCTTAGGCGTCTATTCTTATCATCAATCTATTTTTGAGATATCAGAAACATGTCGATATCGACTTTCAATATATCGAGGCTGCTTGATGTTGCAAACTCCTGACTGCATTCAAAGGATTTCAGAGGTGATTGAGAGCAGAATTGCTTCCTTATGATTATGAAGGACGTGTATAGTTGAGTAAATACATGTAGGTTTTGATTCAGTAAACTCGCACTCTACTGAATACTAAAGTAGCTTCCTAATATTGACAAAGAAATAGACTTTTTTCTCTCCATATCTCGAGTTACCCTCTAGGTGGATCCATATCTACACAAACAAATGACACATTCCCCTCAATACCTTTCCAGAAATCCCTTTAAACCCTGGCAGCAACATATGCCGCAGCCGCCGGTGCATCGTTCGCATAGTTACCGTGTTGATCCGTGATGATCGGTAGTCCATCGCAAATGTAATCACCATCGTGGCAGAAAGTCTTAACATTATTGTTCAGAGTACCAGGGAACGCGTCGCCATTGTCTGGGTCGCCAAAAAGCACGATTGCCGCAACAGTTGAGTAGAGGTTTGCTGGGATAAGCTTTCCTGCCTTATGCGTAACTTGCGCACCTTGACTATTTTTCAAATATCGTCAGACAATAATGTTCCTATTAAGGCGCACTAGCTCGAAATAATAAGATAAAGGGAGGGGGAAAACTTGCCTGAAGCCAGAAAGGACAACTTTAGAACCAGGGCACTGTGTGGAAGCCAGTGTGACCATTTCCGCCATGTATTCAGCGCCCTCGTCAGATCCCCCTCCCAGATATCCCAGGACAGTAGCTGGGTAGTCATTGACCCCCTGCACAATGACTCTTCCCGGCTCAGCGGCCGACAAGTTTCCGAAAAAGATTGGACCGACTGAGGTTGCGACTCCAACGTTTCCCTCGCCAGATGTCCCGCGAGCAAAGATGACGATAATGTCATCGCAGCCGCCATCGGTGAGATCATTGCGGACCGACGCCACTGCTGCAATGGAGACTTCTGTTTTGCTAGCTTCGATCTCAGCAAAGCCTGCCTCTAAGGCTGCAACGGGTGTTGCCCTTTTCACAAACGTGGCCAAGGCATCATCGGCGAGTTGGGGTCGCGGAAGAGCTAAGCCAAGTGATGGCAGGAGGAGAGAAACAAAAACTGTGGCTGTTCCGAAGAGCATTTTGGCAAGCTGTGTTACTGAGGGCAAGACTAGTAGTAGAGACTAACTAGCAGCAGTAGAGGATCCTTTGTCGGTGCTGGTGATGATGATGAAGGCTATCGAAGTGTGTGATAAATGCCCCTTTTTATATCTGGATTTCTCCACATTTTGATCGACATTTTACAAGCCCGTGCCTCGCACGAGCTTACCGTGAAGAATCTCCCCCTCATGGAGCTAGGAGTCTGCCTCGCCCCCATCGTGATACCGGAATCACTTCCTTCGAGGGAGGGTTAGCAATCTATTCATTAAAGAGAATCGAATCTGCAAACCTACCAGTAGACAATGAGCATCTACCATCGGTCCTGTTGCAAGAACCGCCTTCTCAATAAAGCCAAAAATACAAATGGCTTCCTTTGGTCCATTCGGGGTTCCCAATTGAGACGCAGTTCTTTCTCAAACACATGAAACTAATGATCGACCGCAGCTGGGGTAAAGTATCCTCGGAGGGTGCCGTGGGGATATATATTGCAAGCTGCAACCACTTGGGCGCAGAAAAGGTACAATTCACATGTCTCTGGTTAATCTACGACAGACCATAGGGCTCAGCTTAAGCGAAAGCAGCCTCTTGGGTGTGACGAATATTTGATGTTCCAGGAGTGGTAATATCGCCGAAAGGGCATATAGGGGACGTAGTTGTACCTTGCTAGCAGGAGCGGATTGTGATATAGGTTTGCGCATCAGTACCCAAAAGCGCAGCTCTAGAAAATATCCGGGGAGATCCCCGTTTCCTATTTGACCGTTTAACTTGAAGATCGCCGTTATATGTGCTCCGCTGCATGGTGGTTGGTTTGTTTCTCTGGGGGAGAGTGAGTAGCACAAGAGCTTAAGAGGTAAGAACGTGTTCTTGGCAGCGGTTAATGAGACCTCAACCAGTTCGAGTGACGGGGATCGCAGCCTGATCCTTGCGCGCTATTGGGGCCGGAGTTCATATGGAGTTTCCTAAACGATACATATTAACAGCCAAGAGCAATATCGAGAATAGTTAAATACAACAGAGCCCAGATATCTGCACGCTTTATAGGTGTCGTCTCCAATTAAGCTTTGAGGTCTTGGGATTTTGTGCTGCTGTTCGACATCACATCTCCCCGGGTTTTAACAGAGCTGGCCGGATGTCGAAGAATGGAAGGTTTAGCAAAAGGGTCCCCCGTCGACCACCTGTCCGTGATCACATGAACTCGCACTACTCTGCTTGACTATCCCCGCAATCAATGCATGTTCACCAGCAACGTAACTTCTTCAGTTCCCTCGATCAATCAGACCTCCATGGTAATGCCTCCTAATTCACGCAGTACGTACGTGTACATGTCTACACGTAGTCAGTGTAGGAATTCCCATGTCCTTTTCCGGACCGGCCGGCTTGTCGGGACTCGGAACGGTTTTTCACCCTTGATAACAGCCCAAAAGAACTGTGCTATTGAGTGGGGCAAATCTCCGGAAATGTTCGATATTCCTTTTTTGACAACCCAGCTGGCCAGTTTGATCACACGGATTTGTCAGGAATCTGCAATGGAGGCCCACTTTGTTTGTAGATGCTTATTGTTCCCTGCCATCGAGGCCCATTTTCTCTGTAGATGCTTATTGTTCCTGTTACTGCCTGTACTGGATCTGGATGCAATAATCCCTTGCGGTGAGAGTAGATGCCTAGCAAGGGCTATTTGGTAGATCTGAGTAGCTAGAGGCGGTGTTCCATCATTACTATCACCGGGCCTGGCGCGGAACATATCTGAGTTCGCTCGGACTTTACTTTTGCCGGCCCGTGTGCCGGGCCCAGGTCGGACAAGTCATTTTTATATCCGGTCTTTGTTGCACCGGGCTGACTACTTTTTGGGCGGGCGAGCTGGTCCGGGCGGCGGTGCCTCCGGGCTCGGGTTGGCCTCGCTGCCGGTGTACCATCTAGATACAACTGAACTCCCGGAATATTTCAAAACGCCGGCTATGTAGGCTTCCGCTGATATATTTGAGATAAACAGTCGAGTAAATCCCGTTATGTACTCAAGAGAGATGCTCTATAGTAAAGGATTTTGATATGCCGCGGAGATGGATCCAAATGACCTACGTCTGATAAGGGCAATTGCGCAGCCCTCAGACCTTTACTATAATAAACTTATCGTATCGGCAAGAAGAGTGCTTCATTGAATGCTGTCGTATCTGAAAACTTATTATGTAGCATTGCACTGTAGTTGAAGCACAGCCGTCAAACCATCGATTCCCATAAGTCTGATCCGGAAATTGGCCGAAAACGTACAACGGCTTTATATGCCATAATTAGGCCAAAATTGACCTCAAGCCTAATGTTTTCTCCAGCTTCTAGTTAACCTAGGCTCTATGAAGAACTACTCAGTAGGTTGGACGTTTAACAGGCTACCGGTGGTGTTCCCGTTATGTCTTGGCGCCAAATTATCATTTCCAGGGAGGCAAATCGCGGACAAGTTGGTCGGCTTGTCAGCTTAAACACCGCGCGCGTGTTTAATTCCCTGGCCATGGAGTTTAGAAGGTCTTGAACGTGGGAGTAGTGGAATGGCGATCAGGTTGTGGGGTTCATGGAGGTTCTACAATACCTTTTGAGTTATTTTGATAGATTTATATGTAGAACTTAAGTCGATCCATTGTTGTGCGGCTTTACCTTGGCAACATACAGTTAGGTACGTGCTTAGCTACTTTGGGTGTTGAGGACAGGTATTCACACTTGAAGTTGACAAAGAAGTCTTTTTCAGGAAGAGGTCAGGCTGTCAGTACTGTAGCTGTTTTGGTTACGACCTGAAACCATCTACAGGATACAGCGAGAGGTAGAATTATTGTAGAAACCGGGGTCTAAAAACAGGGTTTAAGTGGCTGACTCGGCCAATAGGACTCTTCCCATTCTTCTACCACATCTTTGCGATTGGTTTGCGGTCAATCTCCGGCTCCTCTCTAATGGATTATATGCTTGATGAAAACAAGCACTAGTTCTTGGTCTCTAGACGGAAAGATCTTCCTCGCGGCGGTACTAAAATCTAACGTTTTAGACCGGGTACCGTGTCAGACCTAGAAGAGTGTCAATCCCACACAAATTTGTATGGGGATTTCCACGGCGAAGGTCACCTCCACCACCCCTCGAGACACTTACTACCAAATTTTTAAGAAATGAATTTCATTTAGAAATACATACATTTGAATAGTTTCCGGATTAACTATCCTCTATTATGGTGATTGTAGAGTCTTCGTTTTTCGAAGGCTTTATGTCTAGTTTCAGTGCCGTTGCCATGCGGCACACTTCTAGGTCTGACACAGTACTGGGTCGAAAACGTTATAGCCATCTAAGCTTGACCAGCGAGGTTCTGAAACATCCCCGGCTGTATGATGCCTCCGGCGTGGGCAATATTTCACCTTCAAAGCTCAATGCACGTAGTAAGTATTGTTAAATTATAAAGGGGAAATAGGCCGCGTACCGGAGAGCGCTTGGTTCTAGTACGTAAGTTACCTATATTTCTATGTTAAGGAGTACATACTCGGGAATGGGGGTAAGAACCAGAACATGCAATATAGTTATTTGTATGGCAGAGCGGCGCCACCCCATACAAATAATCCCTGTATCGTCACTTGCATGTTCTGGTTCTTATTTCTATGCCCAAGTAGGTAAAATGGACGACCGGCATGGGATGGGGTTTTGCATTTGCGGGGTTTGACAAAAGCCTTATTGACACTACATATGACCCGTACTAAAATATATCCTAGCTAGCACGAACGATGATACATTAATGGAATGTCAGCGTTATGGTTTGCGTGTCTTCTCTTAGCTAATGACTACTGTTGTGGGTAAATGAATCCTCAACATTTTGGGGGTTGCAGCTATCGTGGATTAGCCACGCGGCTTTTGTTTGATAGTCTGTGTCAATCTTACAGGGCTATCAATCAGAATCGGACGGAGGAACGCGCCCCAAGAGGAGAGGGGGCCGATCGCGAGGGGCTTACACTTGTCTATGATTCGTAAGTAGGGCCGGGTCCTCGCATGTGTTCTTCATTGAGGGAGCCAGATAATCAATTGAAGGGCCAGTTAAGGCCAGCAACGGTCTCAGAGATTTTCCTCTGCTCCTGTTTCAAGTGAATTTCCTAAGCTGGTTATTTCAGAGACTTTATTTCCCATGCTGCATAAATGGTGCAGTTGGTTATGACTCTCCTTTAAAGTACAGGTTCCTAGTCGGATTATTATTTCCAATTGAGTCATCCCCCACGCTCAGAATAGGCTTGTGTCATGGAATTACAACAAAACTCGACTACGTATGCACTTTCTCCGTGTACCGAACATCCTGCAGTATAATATTGTTACATAGCTACCTATTCCGTACTAACTTCGCATAGGATCTTCACAGTGGCGCATTACCTATTGACTCTAAGAGGTCATTGTACAGTACCATGGTCTCAAATCCAGTCGCAGGATTCATAGATCTGGAATCAAGACTTGTGACTTGAATGGCTGTCAACTAGATCGCCATATGCAAGTCTCGTGCCTCGTTCCTGAAACCAATCATGAGCTACGCAAGTAATATTGCCCCATTAGATATATAAAGACGTCTCATATTCTGCAGCCAAGAGGTCACCTTGAGATTCTTACTGAATTGAGTTCCTACAGATTCTAGTAGAATTAATGCGAAAGTGGGTTTTCGTGACCCGATAGTCCTATTGGCCCTTAAAGGAGTTTTTGTAGTGAGCACGGGCCAAGAAACCCACTCTTTTAGCTCTGACTTTCGCAATAATTCTACCGGAATCTATAGGTGACCACACATCTGCAGTGTGGCGTTAAGCACCCTTCCAAAGATCATCCTCAAGTGCAAAAACGTCCCGGCTACCGAACATTAAAAACCCCGCCACAACCCGCCGCCGACGAAAATGAGTGAAAAAAAATTAGTAGTCAACGACCTCGGTGATAACTTGATACCATGAGCATTCTTTAGGAAATTCACACGCACCCAAAGGCCCAAAAATCGCCACAAGTATAATCAAAGCCCTTTCTGTTTTCCAATCATGAAATCTCCCTCGACCATATGAGTCAGCCGAGTGATACTCCATGACAGTAGCGAGTACCGCTTTGAACCTCTTCTTCCTGTTTGGGCCACCAATGATAGATTTTAGTGTCGCACCAGTGTCTGTGTCGTCATGATGACACCGGAGGAGGATTACGTAAACATTTTGTTTGGGTTTCATATGTTTCGACACAACGCTTTAGAAGCGAAATGGGTGCTTTAACTAATTATAGTTCAGCATCTAGCTCGTTGCTCGTGATTTTTTATTGTTGAGAACCGGTAGACGAAACTCTCGAATGGTTCGTGTATCGGAGCAGTTGGTGGTTCGAGTGATGACTTGTGATCCCAACGATCATGGTGTTGAGGCTTCATGATATACCCACGCGATACATCAGTAATAAGGTCAACACTGCTATTTGTGGTTGGTCAGTACTTTGAGGTAAGTGATCGGAATAATTTTGTATTCCGAGATTACTATATTGTTATTTGGCTTGTATATGTGTAGTTTGGACGTTGTCCCAAACAGTTTATGCATTGTTGTACTTTATTTATCATAGAAGTACACTTGTTCTTTGTTTTTTTTAACTATAAGATAATCTTGTTTCTCCTCTTTCTTCAGTTCGTTCACTCTATATTTGTACATTGATCGATTCTCTTCTATGAAAGATCACTCGTAATTGATTGCAGGTACTACTCGGATTTCATGGCATCAGAACTTATCACGCCGAGTGAAAATATTGGATATCGTCCTTCAATTAACGCTTAAAGTCGGCATTATACCTCTATCTAGCCATAGTATAGTGCATGCCAAACCCAATCTCTCAAAACCATTGATATATTCCACCACAGATCTAGACTCCCCCCACGTTATCACGGCTTGGTACTGGGGATATTTTATCCTCGAAGGGAGGTTTGAAAGATCTCCGACGATGCAGGACATAGATATATGCCGTTGCATTATCTGGTCTCAATGAATTATAGATACACACAGTGAACGCCGCATCACAGCTGAGCGACCCAAGTTCACACCATCTCACTCGTGGCGGTAAATACTTCATCCCCCCACTCGCGCTCCCCACCTCCCCCCACGCTTTAAGCTGATGAGCTGTGTAGCCCTACCCCTCACAGTACTGTCATAAACTGCTCTCCGTCACCTGCACACGCGTCTATCTATTTGTCCCACCCTAGAACTTCTCAAAGACCGGTGTTATTTCCACTCGCGGCGAATAGAAAAGAAATAACGAAATTCTTTTGGTGTTGTTGGGCTCATGCATGGACTTTTCTTTTTCTCTCTTTTCTTTTTGAACGAACCACCGATACGATGGCCAACAAACAGATATCCCCACGGGCAATGCGAAATAACGGCCGGTAGATGATGTATCTCCAACCGCCCGGCAGTCATCATCATGAGGCAGAATACGATAATTTCTTATTCACCTACTAGGCATAAGACAGGCAAGACCTTTTCCTTTTCATTTTCAACCAACCTCCCCCCCCCCCCCCATCTTACCTGTCAAGACTCACAGAACCGATACCATGGAGTGACCCCAGCTCAGCTCGTCCATTTCGAAATCTTCCAGAAGATAGCTATATCAGCATATCTTATCAAAGAGTGACCCCCAACCACCGTGACAAAACCCCTTATCCGTTATCATATCAGAGTGGGATGTAACTCTAGCCCTTGGGGCACCGTGACAGACAGCACCCCGATTATCTGATAACGCCCCACCCCCCGGAAGGAGAAGGGGGAAAAAGCAAAAGTCCCGTACACACAACTTCTTGACAAACGGTTGTTGCTGTGGTGTGGTTTTGGGTTGATATGTCTTCCTCCCCCACACACACGCCGCGGCGCCGCACGCGCGGCAACCAACACTCGTGATATGATATGACACGCAAAACAAATGGTCCTTCCAATTCATGATAATCACGAGAAAGAAGCGCAATTTCTCCGCTTCTCTCTAGCGCGACACATCCCCCCACCACAGAGCCAAGTCGCCGTGGCTACTGGACTAGGTCATGTGCCCCCCATCTCAGGGCCATCCAACAAACAACGTTAAGCACTCTCGCGCCAGGTCATGGACCATCACTCGCGTAGAATGGTTCGCCCGTTCTGTGATCGCCAGGACTGCCGGCGGCCGGCAACCACGGGTGTTTCCCTTGCATGATAGTGATTACTCGGACATGTTCTCCGGGGGGCCGAAGGAGCAGCACTCGCTCTAGTAAATTGGACCCTTAAAATTGTAAATTGTGGGTGGCCATGGTCTGGTTGGTGCCCTAACATGACAGGATGGATTTGCAAGGACAGGCCACTCAAGCTTAAATTCTGAGATATTTTTATTAGTCGCCGTTATACTGTGGTGGGTTCATCCCGCACTCCCTTCCCTTTTTTTTTTTATTTTTTATTTCTTTTTTTACTTTCGTTTCATTATTTCTTTCTTTCACCCACCACGCGGCCGAGTACGGCCGAGTACTAAGGGAAAATCAAATAACGGAGCGGAGGGGGTTCGGTGGGGTGGCGGTGAGGCGGTGAGGGAAGGTGGATGGAGGGATGAGGGATATGGATGGATGGATGGATGGATGAGTGGCCGATGATGAGTGGATGAACGTCTCTCTCTCGCTCGCTCTCGTTAATTAGGTTCTGACTGACTGCGCGGCCCACCACGGCTTGGTTCTTCGGTTGTGTGCCCTGGGAGATGGATGGAAGCGAAGATGGGGGTGGCTGGGGGGCCGAACGTTTAATTTGCATTGCATCTACTCTATGAATGTAGGGTCCGTCTTCTAGAAGTGCAGTGCAGCACATCCCATACTGTCTGCTACCTTCCTGCAAGAGCTAGAGCAGACAGCTATCTATATCCCCAATTGAAAACAGAAACAGAAACAGAAACAAACACAGAGGAACCCTGAACCACGCAGTACTCCCTGGCCAGCCAGCCAGCTGGCTAGAGTAGTGGTCTCCCTTCCCTTCCCCCACGGATTGCCTCCGTTGTGGCCCCAATTCGTGCGAATATAGAGTGCCTATGACAGCACTCTACGTATGTAGGGTACTTTACGGAGCAAAGGGTGTTTCCTTTAGCCGAAGATTGTAGAGCAGAGCAGAGTAGAGCTGTACTCGTGTCTATCACGCGAGCTGGTCCGTCCAGGAATCGAAATGAGTGGTGGGCTGGCTGCATACTGTAATGAATCGAATGTACCGTCTGTCTTGTCTCTCCCTGTTCCTGTCCTGTGGTTTTACTTTACCCCAATACCAAATATCTCGCACAAGACAGACGATCCTCGAGTGGAGTGGAACCAGTGGAACAACCCCCCCTCCTATCCCCTCCTTCCCCTTCTCGTATTGCTACTAGTGCTAGCTAGCGGGTTTTGCAGATAGTGCTCAGGCACCACGATCCCTCCCCGGGAGGGTGAGTGAGAGTTTCCCTGGATTCAACTCACCACCAGCTAGCTAACTCTAGCTAAAAACCAATTACTCCAAGAAAACCAAACCAAACCAAACCAAACCAAACCGTGCCTTTGTGTTTCCCTCGTCTCGCTCGTCTCGTTCGCGGGCTGCGGCACTTTCCTTTTCGTTTCCACCGCCCCCATTTCCACTATATCCCGCGTGTCTGATCACCGAGCTGTCGGGATTCCCGCTCTAGCCCCGATGTGGACTGGCGCGCGAGAATATTTGGAGCTAGCCAGCCTTTGTGTCTCTGTGTCTCTCTGGCTGTCTTCATCTCTCTTAGCTGGAGGTAACCCAGACACAAATATCGAAACACAATTCCGAGAACTTGGTCTTGTAGAACTTGGAGAGTAATGGCCCCCAGTTACCAGCTCCGCCAGTGCGGTAATTAGCAAGAAAAATACCGTACCGTACACCCCACGGCCTACCCTACCAAGTACCCACTACCCACACGCTGCCCATTGCATTGCATTGCCCCGAAAGTGCGCAATTCGCTATAGTGGGCCGGGTCAAATGGAAAAGACCATAGAAGACACAAGGAGGGCGGAGCGGCGGGGGGTGAGGGGGAAAGAGTGTTCTTGGAAAATTAAAATATAAATGATTAGAACACAATATAATCTCCATGGCATGGCTACGTTGTGACCTTGGCTAGGCTACATGTAGCTTATAATTTTATATCCCATGCAAATTGAGCCTGGGGTTTCGATGTCGTCGTTGACAGCTTCTTGATATTCCTGCTTCCTGCATACTGCATACATAAGTTAGGCCAGGCTAGCTTTGTAGGGTAGCTGTGGGAGCTGCTCATGCTGGAGATGAGCTCATGTTGGAAGGACGTTGGAAGTACGATAGATTGGATTAATTGGGGCCATGCACATATGGGGTCATGGAAGGTTCGGCCTGCTCGACTAGAAGCTTGCGAATAGATTATCGAAGCTCGGAAATTCTCCTAACAGGGCAGGATGGATGGGATGGAGCCCGCATCGTAATAATAATGATATGTAGGTACAGATATACTATATTCTCTGCTCTGATATATTGAAGATTATGTATGTTATCACGTAGTTACTCTAGCTAGGCAGGAACCATCTTCACCGCGTCTAGCTAGCTTAATAGTTTATATTATAGATGATACTCTACCTACATGTACCTACAGCTACACCTAGCTACGTATACACAATTTCCGCCCAGCCGTTCCAGAAATGACCATCAATCACAAAACAGACATACAGAAGGGAAGGTTCCAAGGAAGGAAACCCATCGGAACTCCCTCCTCTCGCGGCAAACGCCATTGGATCACAGAAATGCCCTTCCATCCCTCTCCTCCGAAAAGAACAGCCTGGGCTTGCGCGCGGCAGACGTACGTCGGCTACCCACCCACACACAGCAGGCAGAAGAGGAAGCAGAAGAGGGCGAGAAATCTAAGGGTCTGGCAAGCGATTCGTCGTGCGAACCGCGGGGAGGGATCAAGGAAGTACAAATTGTAGACCAGCGGCGTATCTAGCTGCACACCAGAATATTAATCTCAATTCCATGTGTAGAACCACGCCGTGTCCGAGGTCAGGTCTCGATCTTTGTAGAGGCGATAAACACATACGTAGTTAGTGAATGATCCGCCGCTGGGCTGGGTCAGGACTTGACTTGCAATTGGGGAGGATGGAGGTAAGGGAAGGGAGGGGAGGGGGTGGGCATCAGGATCATGATGATGGGGAAATCTGGGATATCTGAATCATTTTGATATTCGATTGGGATCCCCAATAATGGGTCAAAACTTTAAACCTGCAGAGAAGCAGAAGAATCCTGCTTTTTGCTTGGCCCTTAATTGAGTATGTAGGGAGAGGGTGTTTCAGCAGACCGGCCATAAAATCTGTAGTAGTTAGTAGCATCTAGTAGCTAGTAGTGCAATGTACGTCTTTCTCTAATTCTAGCTAAACTACACGTAACACAGGTAGAGTCTCTTCTTCGCGGGGCCCTTGCTTGTTTCACCTCCCTCCCCGAGAGTCTGGTGTCTGGAGTAAATGATAGGTGCAAGCTGATGATCGAGGCGTTTTTCCCATCTGTACGTTAGCCATCTTTCTCACGTTGCATACATGGTTCTAATTCCATGTGTTCGCCGTTTTTCCCCTCCACCTCCGGCTCCACAAGGAAAAACGTGAGTTTTTACTTTTGTGTCAGTGTGTCTGTGTGTGAGCCGTAATATCTGGAACGGTAGGGCGTCAAAGTACAGTAGGAGTAAGAGCAAGTCATGATCGAGCTTACCCCATTCAATACCCCATTACCAGCGGGCTCCACAGCAGCAGCCAGTAGGAGAGTAGTAGTAGGAATTACAGGCAAGTACCCAAAACCCTCACCCCCAGGGTACGTAGGTACCAGAGGGTCGGGAGAGGGGTGAGGGGGTGGATGCGTAAGAGAGAGTGGGAGAGGGAAAGAGGACATTGTGCATCCCGTTCATCTGGTAAATCATTCTCATGAACCATGGCTACTAGTGGGTATGGCAACTTCCTTCTACCTACCCCATGGATCGAACGCTACCCAGATGTCTCAGAAGCTATGAAAGGAAAGAAAAAACGAAACGAACCATTACATGATGGCATATTTATCCTTTCAGAAAGTAAAAAGAGAAAGTAAAAAGAGAAAGTAAAAAGAGAAAGTGAAAAGAGAAGAGAGAAATCTCGCTGTCATGTCCGATATGCATCCCTCCCCCCCATATGCATAATCATCATCTATATTATCCACATCAACAACATCCCTTCCGGATCCCTCTCTTTCCATGGCCGGGGCATGAAAATATGGCAGCCAATCCCAAGATACACGTACACCTCAGAAGAAATCATCTCAAACGAACCGGTATATGTCATGGCCCTGGTAACAGGGTCGGGCCGGTGGCTTACTGGGGTGGGGGGTGGAGGGGGAGTGGGAGTGAAGGATGGGGTCGTCGATGGGGGAGGGAAAGCCACCACCACTTTTACCCTATCGACATCGGTAGTCCGGCACCAAAACAGCTTTGGTATGATCGTGGCGTGCAGGAAGAAAAAAGAGAGTGACATTGGGCGGTTCTTTTTTTCCCGCCACGTTCCTCGGCGTAGAACCCAAAGTGATCTGATTTACAGGTCTAGCTACTAGCTTTAGCTACTTGATCCTCCACCATTATCAAATTGTGTCTTCCGGAACTCCCCTCCTCCCCTCCTCCCCTCACCACCCCCAATTGAGGGAATATTATGTAGTTGTGTAGTAGAAGGGAGGGAGGGTAGAATAGGTTTTTTTTTTCTGTACTGGAGGGATATAATCGTTCATCGTGTATGTAAAGTATATGTAGGTAATTCTCCTTGAGGACACTATCAATGTGGCAAAGAAACATCAGCTGTCAGAGCACATAATTTCTTCTCTCGCATGGCAATTGAGGCTCCCTCCCACGCGAAACTTACCCACTTACTTACTCCTACGCCGCTCTCGCCCTGCAGTCCACCACCCCCGGGCTCCACCCATCCCCCAGCTCGATCTATCCAAGATTCATTTCAACCCGGATCAGCCGGAGAAATTCTTAAATTCAAAACCTTGGAAACCAGCGTTCTGCGAAGCCCCGAAAAAAGCTAGCTAGCTACATAGCTAGTACGTCAAATATGTCAACACCCTCACCCTCCCCATGCCCAGCTGATGGATGGCATGGCACTAATGCTATTATGAAGCGAGGGAAATTATAGCAGCTAGCTAGACGGGATTGGATTGCCACCGAGGAAAAAAGTATTTTGGATTCAAATATGCATTATTCATTCTTCTAAAGACTGTAGTAGAGAGTAAACTAGACTAGAACACCTCCCCCTCCCAAAAGTAGCTGATCCTCAATACATAGTAGGTGACGACAAAAAGGAAAAAAACAACGAAAAAGTAATGGACAAATAAAGTTAATAAAGGATAATAATAGACAATCATTGCGACAAAAGAAAGAAAGAAACGAATAACGAAAAGAAAAAACACCGGAACAATTTCTGTGTAAAAAACTTTGTCACCCTCCTGTTATTGGCTCAACAGATATACCCACACACACATTGGCTCATAGAAAATTGATCGATACCACATGTTCCAACTCTGCCCGTGACAATTTACCCCATTTCCTCCCCCCATCCTTGCCAACAAAACAAACATCAAAAGAAAGAAAAAGTAAACTGAAGTGCAGTGAACAAGGAAGAGGAAAAGAAAAGACGTCACCCCCCATGCTTCTGTCAAAAAACAAATTGATACCGCCGTGATTTTTGGAGACGAAAGGAAAGCAAGCAAAAGTCCAACCCAAACCCAGAGTTTTGAAGGCAACGCAATCCAAGTACAAACCGAAACCAGATGTAATAGAGAAGTAAGAAAAAAGGGAATTAACAAATTGACAGTCGATGTTGGTAAAAACCAAACGACAAGTAATAAAAATATATCAGTAGAAGGAAACCAGGTCAAAAAGAAGGACGCCGGGGACTCAGATGAAAGAGATGCCTGGGAAAGTTGTATTCAGGCACAAATATCTCCCTGATTCAGGTTGGCGGTCTGTGCAGCCCTGCGAGCCATTAGAGGAAAGTGAAATCAAGATAGGGACAGTGAATGGTAGACAAAGTATTGGAGAGTCAATAAGAACAGTGAAATCATGTGATAAAGAGTAATAATCCACTGACTTGGGGTATATCCCCCCCAAAGAGCGCTGTAATATAGGTGCTAAAAGGAAAGTAATGCGCTGAAAAAAGACAACCACCCCAGAACAGTAAGAAATAATAGCACAAGCATAAAACAAGTGAGCGCACCCGCCGTACACCAGTCCGTCGCCGCAAAGCTGATACCGATCTTTAAAAAACAATTTTCTGAACAAACCACCCAACACAAGAGCCATGAAAGGCATCTTGCTAATAAATGCTAATATATAGAAAACTAAAAGAGATAAAAAAAATATGAACGCATAAAAATATTGTAACAGAAGGTAAAAAAAAAAAAAAAATCAAAGGCCGCCAAGTCTCATATTTCGCCCATAAGTACGTTTTAAGATTTGTACAACTTTTTCCTCATATGTGCGATCATTCTCTAACAGAATGATGCCCTTGGTGTAGGGAGCATGTTCTGCTCGGGTTCCGATTTGATGTACCCCATATCCTGAGGAGGAACTCCTGGGTAGTACATCCGGTGCTGCTGAGGCTGTGGCTGGGCCTGAAGAAGGTGCTGCTGAGGTGGGTAGTAGTCCCATACCTGCTGCTGCGCGTGGTGCTGAACAGGTACCTGGTGGTGATGCGGTGAAAGCATTCCCCCGTTAGTTGCATATGTCATGATTGCCGGGTGCTGAGGAGCGGCAGAGTGATATGGCATCTGGTTCGGGTAAGGAGGAACAGCGCCAGGGGAAATTGGGTAGTGTCCGCTTCCAGCACTTGTTGGCTGCCTGTAGAAGTAATCTGACTGGCAGCTATTTGTTGTGGCTGAAGAGCAAGATGACAGACTTCCGGGGCTGCTCTGGATCTGCGCCGCTGCTAACAGTTGGTGAGCTGATGGAGTTGTGCAAACAATTCGCAGACCATTGTAAGTCGGGCTTGAGTGCATAGATCCTGTTGGTGTTGTGCTGTACTCATCCTCACGGTGAATGATTGTTGTTGGCGAAATAGCCCTGCTATCTGTGACATCCTCATCAGGGTAGTAGGGGCTCTGCGGTGTCGGGGGCTGGTGCTGGTGGTGTAGTGAGGGGGCCATGATCAGTGGCATGTGGTTTCCATATGAGTCGGCAGCGGAAAAGCTGGCATTCCTGCTAGAGTGTCCAGAGTGAGATATTGACTGAGGGCTATGCGGTGTTGGTGGTTCCTGGAATTGAATGGTTGTTCGTAGCATTGATGGCCGGTTTGGAGCTGTTGTGATGTTCTTCTTGCTTCCCATCTTGTTTGTCCTCTTTGCCGGTGCTCTTGGCTTGCTCATCGCCTTTGGTGAAGGGGCATCATCTTCAGTCTCCTCACCATCATCATCAGTAACATCGTTTTCTGTGCGAATCTGATGCGTTCTCCGGGCGTGCTTAGTCAATGTTGTTTTCCTGCAGAAGCTGGTGTATGAATTAGTATACGCAGGAAGCTATTAGGCATTGGAGCCACAGTACCTCTTTCCGCACTTGTCGATGGGGCAGCTATAAGGTCTCTTGCCAGTGTGAATACGCCTATGCCTTGCCAAACTTGAAGACTGAATGTAAAGGTTAGCTTTGAAGCTTCGGATGAATGGTCTAGGGAGTTTGCGTTACGAACATCTGAGAAGCACTTTCCGCATCCAATATATTCACATTGATGGGGTTTCTCGCCGGTGTGGGTTCGGATGTGTACTGTCAAGGCACTGCGCTGAATGAATGACTTTCCACAATTGGGATGAGTACATGAGTATGGTCGCTCGTTTGTGTGAATCCTGTGATGACGCTGCAGATCTGACTTGCGATTGAAACTCTACGAAGGTTTAGCCAATGCACTTATGGGTCACTTGATACAAACGCTAT